TAAAGAAAAATACAATGTACATGTACATGGTTTAAGAATAAACAATATGATATATTGAAAGATAAACCATAATTTACTTACTTTTTCCAGTTAAGCTTTGACTTATAATCGTCGGTCAATATGACAATTGAATTCTTAAAATTTATTTTACAATTTTAATAAAAAAGAGTAGTAAAAACTCAGTATTAAAATAGCACATAAACACAAAAAAGAATAAAAGAAAACAATATTCATAAAATTTGTATTTTTTTTAAATTAAAATTAATAGATATTACAATTATTGTATAATAAACAATTATGCTCAACATGATCAACATGGTAATATAACCAGTGTCATATTTTTACTAACTTAAAGTGTGAACAGATACCTTAAGGGGGTCTTCGCTAATAGCGATAACATGTACATAATAAGGGACAAATGTGTGGTACGTGTTGATCATGCGTTACACATATGGATTATAAATGATTGCATACATGTATATCCGTTGCTATTAATAACCACGATCATAAAGAAATAACAAGTAATATTCTAATCTCTAGCATGCCAATCAAAGTTCATAATGAACAATGTCTTTCGTCCGCTCATTTATAAGTGGTATACATTTCTGGTAGTTTATAAGAATATCTTGTCATCATATGTGTACTAGTTCATCTTCACTTGCTGCATTTCTTGCTTGGACGCCCTTTGATGCTTTGCATCAATGCTTTTCTTGTTTTATTATGACATAATTTATGGTAAAGTGAACAAGTGGATAGGAATGAATTTTTTTAGATTTTTTAAGTTTTTTAGTGCTTGCCTATAATACAAAACATTGACAGTTAAGGGCCATAATTCAAATAAAATCTTTGACAGAATTACCTTCTCCTGGACATGTTTGGGAATCATGATTGTAAACAAGTATTCCAACTTTCAAATTAATATCTCAAACAGTTCAGTCAAAAAGTGGACTGGTACTAAAAACTTAACCAAGATTCTAAGTCGATAAAAGGCCTTAATTTTTAAAACAAATCCTTGACAGAGTTACCTTCTCTTGCGTACAGATGGGGGTAATGATGTGAAATAGCATTAAAAGTTTCAAAGCAATATCTCAAAGGGTTAAGGCAATAAGTGGATTTTACCCATATTCAATGTATTTTCTAAGTCAAAAAGGGGCATAATTCTGTCAAAAACCTTGACAGAGTTATGTACTCTTGTCTGTAGATGGAGGTTATGATGGTGAACAAGTATGGTAAGTTTCAAAGCCATACTTGTAATACTTCTGAAATAAAGTGGGGTGGTACGAAAAACTTAACCAAGCTCAATACACTTTCTAAGTCAAAAAGGGGCATAATTCTGTCAAAAACCTTGACAGAGTTATGTACTCTTGTCTGTAGATGGAGGTTATGATGGTGAACAAGTATGGTAAGTTTCAAAGCCATACTTGTAATACTTCTGAAATAAAGTGGGGTGGTACGAAAAACTTAACCAAGCTCAATACACTTTCTAAGTCAAAAAAGGGCCATAATTCTGTCAAAAACCTTGACAGAGTTATGTACTCTTGTCTGTAGATGGAGGTTATGATGGTGAACAAGTATGGTAAGTTTCAAAGCCATACTTGTAATACTTCTGAAATAAAGTGGGGTGGTACGAAAAACTTAACCAAGGTGTGACGCCAACGCTAACGCCGACGCCGACGCCGACGCCGGGGCGAGTAGGATAGCTCCCCTTTTCATAGAAAAGTCGAGCTAAAAATGTGACCGCTAGAGTGTTAACAAGGTTTTTCTATTTTTAGCTCCGGTGACCTAGTTTTTCATCCGAGATGACCCATGTTCGAACTCATCCGAGCTATCACCTAGACAAACATCCTGACCAAGTTTGATGATGATTGAGGCAAAAATGTGACCGCTAGAGTGTTAATAATGTTTTTCTATTTTTAGCTCCGGTGACCTTGTTTTTCATCCAGGATGACCCATGTTCAAACTCATCCAAGCTATCACCTAGACAAGCATCTTGACCAAGTTTGATGATGATTGATGCAAAAATGTGACCGCTAGAGTGTTAACAAGGTTTTTCTATTTTTAGCTCCGGTGACCTACTTTTTCATTCGAGATGACCTATGTTCGAACTCATCCGAGCTATCACCTAGACAAGCATCCTGACCAAGTTTGATGATGATTGAGACAAATGTGACCGCTGGAGTGTTAACAAGGTTTTTCTATTTTTAGCTCCGGTGACCTAGTTTTTCATCCGAGATGACCCATGTTCAAACTCATCCGAGCTATCACCTAGACAAGCATCCTGACCAAGTTTGATGATGATTGAGGCAAAAATGTGACCGCTAGAGTGTTAACAAGGTTTTTCTATTTTTAGCTACGGTGACCTTGTTTTTCATCCGAGATGACCCATGTTCGAACTCATCCGAGCTATCAACTAGATAAGCATCCTGACCAAGTTTGATGATGATTGAGGTAAAAATGTGACCGCTAGAGTGTTAACAAGGTTTTTCTATTTTTAGCTCCGGTGACCTAGTTTTTCATCCAAGATGACCCATATTCAAACTCATCCGAGGCATCACCTAGACAAGCATCCTGACCAAGTTTGATGATGATTGAGGCAAAAATGTGACCCCTAGAGTGTTAACAAGGTTTTTCTACTTTTAGCTCCTGTGACCTAGTTTTCATCCGAGATGACCCATGTTCAAACTCATCCGAGCTATCAACTAGATAAGCATCCTGACAATGTTTGAGGATGATTGAGGCAAAAATGCTCTAGGCCTTGTGGGTCTTTACAAGAAGATTTTTTTAATTTATCCTTATAATTCATTTTGCTTGCCAGGGCAACCAGATTTCTGCATTGAATTAAATCCTTTGAACAACTTTGGAAGCCCTTCATGCAAGGATAAATTGGAAATTGGACTTGTGGTTTTCACAAGAAGATTTTTTAAGTTCACTATATAATCTATATAACACACATACATACACACAATTACACAAGTGAATCGCAATATGCCACCACATCGCAGATGCTTGGCTGGCATAAAAAGTGTAAAACTAGAAATGTGCCCAAAGGACACGGGTGCCCCCACACGCCACTGTTCTGTCAATCTTATTACTCTAGGTCAAATATTTTTCACAAGTTGAAAACTAAAAATCTTTAACTAAGTAAAGAGCAAGAACTTTACAAATACTGAATAAATCCGCAAACAAACCCCAAGGTGCATAAGTACACATGCTGACCAAAATTCTTGTAAACTTTCAGGCCTACAAGTCAAATACTTTCTGAGCTATGCATGAACAAGTTGAAAATTGCACATTTATACTACTGTAAGTCAAGGGCAATAACTCTTAACAAAACTGAAAAAAATCCACATGCAAAGTCCCAGGTGCATAGCTTCACAGTGATGTTGATCATCATTCCTGTTATTTAGTGATGTTGATCATTGTTCCTGTAAAGTTGGTTGATTCTTACTCAAGCACTCAAGGACCAAATAAAACAACATAATGAAACGGTTTTTACTAAGTCAAGGGAAATAACTCTACAAATACTGGATAAATCCACAAGCAAAACCCAAAGTACACAACTACATATGCTGAGCAACATTCCCGTAAGGTTTCATGACTCTATGTCAAATATTTTTGAGTTACATGCGACACAAGTTGAAAATTTCAAAAATGTTCTAAGTCAAGGGCAAAAACTCGAAAAAATACTAAATAAAAACAGACTAAAATACTCAGGTGCACAACTACACATTCTGATCAACATTCCTGTAAAGTTTCATGACTCTATGTCAAATACTTTTTGAGTTACATGCGACAAAAGTTGAAAATTGCAAATATTTACTAAGTCAAGGACAATAATTCTAAAAATACTAAAAATATCCAGACGAAAATACCCAGGAGCACAACTACACATGCTGATCAACATTCCTGTAAAGTTTCATGACTCTAGGTCAAATACTTTTTGAGTTACTTTTGACACAAGTTGAAAATTTCAAATTTTTACTTAGTCAAGGGCAATAAGTCAAAAAATACTGAATAAATCCACGCGAAAATACCCAGGTGCACAACTGCACATGCTGATCAACATTCCTATTAAGTTTCATGACTCTAGGTCAAATACTTTTTGAGTTACATGCGACACAGAAGAGAACGGACGGTCAGACAGAACTTCTAACAGAAGAGTAATAATGTGGCTATTCTATTGTTCTCTCTATTGTTCTTTTTAGCTACACAAGAGAAAATTGCCACATAAAAGCATTACAGAATGAATGACATCAAAGAGAAAGAACAGTTACCTATTGTCGCTCTAGCCACATAATTACTGTCCTGTGAGGACGGAAAGACGGAAGTTCTCACAGGACAGTAATTATGCGGCTACTCTATTGTTCTCTCTATTGTTCTTTTTAGCCACGCAAAAGAAAATAGCCACATAAAAGCATTACGGAATGAATGACATCAAAGAGAAAGAACAGTTACCTATTGTCCCTCTAGCCACATAATTACTCTCCTTTGAGTGCGGACGGACATAGGGATGGACAGACGGTCGGACAATGCTAAAACTATATCCCCCTCCATTCCATCGGCAGGGGATAATAAATTAATCCCCAGGGTGGACCCAATTTTGATCTTAAGACTTTCAAACTTGTGTTCTGCACAAGTCTTAATATAAGTAATATTTCTGCCAAAAAGTATTAATAATTTTCTACCAGTTCAAAAGAATCAGAGCGGACACAAAATTTTAATATTGAAACAAAATGACTAAGTGTCACCTTGTCCTTGACCTGAGGAAGGTCAAACCTGCGCTCTGCACATCGTCTCATTATGGTTAACATTTCTGTAGTTTTAATTTCCTTCCACCGGTTCAAAAAATACAGACTGGACAAGAAAACCTGCCAACAGACGGACGGACGGACAATCAGGTACATAACAATATATGCCAAAATTCTTTTGGGCTACAATGTACTCATAATTAACAGGTCAATAAAATCGGACTATAAATGGCTTTAAAATGGAAACTTTACCCATCTTCAGAAAACTCCTCAAAACACTCAGCATAGTTTTTGTCAGGCAGAACATATTTCTTTGTTTGCCTACTCATAACTACAGCATTATGTGGGTCCCATTGTCCTAGCATAGCAGAATCTCCCACAATGCATAATGATTCTCCAGGTTGTGTTTTGGCACGCACACTAAAACATGAAATTGAAATAATATACATGAAAACAAGTCTCCATCTTCAATTTGACAAAATTCATACAAATGTGAAGTTTTAAAAATAAATATGTGTGTTATATAGTTATCTCAATTCAAAAAGAAACAAGATATGTTTGTAAAACATGTATGCCCCCTATCAGCAGCCAATTTGTCATGTGATCAGATTATTATGCATGACTTCTGACCCATTGAACAAGCAATTAATAAGGGTTATCTAGTATCTACTGGTCATGACTAGTCACAAGGTAATAATTATTGTGACCCCATAGGTTGTGTGCAGCAATTAAAGTTATTAAAAATCTTACCAAATAACATATACATAAATTTTATGAATCACATAGGCCTCATTAATGACAGCCAAGTTGTTATATTACATAAGACCTTCAAATGTGTATACCAAAGGCACATAAAAATATCAACCAAGGCAACTTGTGTTGTTGAGTTATTGGTCAGAAACGGTTATTGAGTACAAGGTCACTATGACTTTGACCCCTTGACCCCAAAAACAATACGGGTCATCTACTGGTCATGACCAATCATCATACACAGTTTGAAGTTCCTAGGCCTTAGGGTTCTTTAGTTATTGATCGGAAACTATCTTTACCTACAAGGTCAATGTGACCTTGACCTTTGACCCCTTGACCCCAAAATCAATAGGGGTCATCTGCTGGTCATGACCAATCATCATACCAAATTTGAAGTTCCTAGGACTAAGGGTTCTTTAGTGATTGATCATAAACCGTTTTAACCTACAAGGTCAATGTTACCTTGACTTTTGACCCCTTGACCCCTAAATCAATAGGGGTCATCTGCTAGTCATGACCAATCATCATACCAGGTTTGAAGTTCCTGGGCCTAAGCGTTCTTTAGTTATTGATCAGAAACCGTTTTTACCTACAAGGTCAATGTGACCTTGACCTTTGACCCCTTGACCCCAAAATCAATAGGGGTCATCTGCTGGTCATGACTAATCATGATACCAAGTTTGAAGTACCTAGGCCTAAGCGTTCTTTATTTATTGATCGGAAACCGTTTTCACCTACAAGGTCAATGTGCCCTTTACCTTTGACCCCTTGACCCCAAAATCAATAGGGGTCATCTGCTGGTCATGACCAATCATCATACCAAGTTTGAAGTTCCTAGGACTCAGGGTTCTTTAGTTATTGATCAGAAACCGTTTTAACCTACAAGGTCAATGTGACCTTGACCTTTGACTCCTTGACCCCTAAATCAATAGGGGTCATCTGCTGGTCATGACCAATCATCATACCAGGTTTGAATTTCCTAGGCCTAAGCGTTCTATAGTTATTGATCGGAAACTGTTTTTACCTACAAGGTCAATGTGACCTTGACCTTTGACCCCTTGACCCCAAAATCAATAGGGGTCATCTGCTGGTCATGACTAATCATGATACCAAGTTTGAAGTACCTAGGCCTAAGCGTTCTTTCTTTATTGATCCGAAACCGTTTTCACCTACAAGGTCAATGTGACCTTGACCTTGGACCCATTGACCCAAAAATCAATAGGGGTCATCTGATGGTCATGACCAATCATCATACCAAGTTTGAAGTACCTAGGCCTAAGAGTTCTTTAGTTATTGATCGGAAACGGTTTTTTTGACCTAAAAGGTCAATGTGACCTTGACCTTTGACCCCTTGACCCCAAAATCAATAGGGGTTATCTGCTGGTCATGACCAATCACCATACCAAGTTTGAAGTTCCTAGGCCTAAGGGTTCTTTAGTTATTGATCGGAAACCATTTTTACCTACAAGGTCAATGGGACCTTGACATTTGACCCCTTGACCCCAAAATCAATAGGGGTCATCTGCTGGTCATGACCAATCACCATATCAAGTTTGAAGTTCCTAGGCCTATGCGTTCTTTAGTTATTGATCGGAAACCGTTTTAACATACAAGGTCAATGTGACCTTGACCTTTGACCCCTTGACCCCAAAATCAATAGGGGTCATCTACTGGTCATGACCAATCACCGTACCAAGTTTGAAGTTCCTAGGCCTAAGGGTTCTTTAGTTATCACTCGGAAACCATTTGGTCTACGGACCGACGGACCGACGGACTGATGGACCGACAAGTGCAAAGCAATATACCCCGTCTTCTTCGAAGTAGGGGCATAATTAATACAAGATTGCATTTTTGAAGAGCCATGTTAACATTGCCATCCCCTGCCAAATGTGTTTGCTCATTGGAGGAATGTATATGTAGTAGAGCAGAATAATTCAATTTAAGAGGTCTTTTCGTAATGAAAACTGATGGCTGAAGTGATTACAGATTTGAGACCTACTGATAGCTGAAGTGATTACAGATTTAAAACCTATGTGAATACTGATGGCTGAAAATAACAATGCGCAATAACTGAAAAATAATGCAGGGTAGATTATCATTCTTGTGTGCTGCACTCCTCCTAAATGAGATCTATCACCTATGAAGTTTCAAGTTGATACCTCTAACTATTTTTGAGATAAGCTCCAAACAAAAAAAAAGAAAAATAACAAAGGGCAATAACTCAAAATTATAAAGGTTACAGTTATCATTCTTGTGCTCAGCATTCGTCCTCAATATGATCTTTCCACCTATGAAGTTCAAGTTGACATCTCAAAGACTTTTTGAGTTAAATATGAAAAATAACAAGGGCAATAACTGAAAAATTTTGCAGGATAGAGCAGAGATATCATTCTTGTCCACTGCACTTCTCCTCAATATGATCTATCCACCTTTGAAGTTTAAAGTTTATACCTGTAATACTTTTTTGAGATAAGCTCCGGACAAAAAAGTATGAAAAACAAGAGCACCGCTAGGGGGAGCATTATATGCCCGAAAGTTTTTTTTAGTAAGGATGAAGCATTTGTAAGACATGGGAATTAAATAAAGTATTACCTCCTTCAAAAAGCAATCCTTCTTAATAGCTGAAGAACCTTCATATATATACAGTTGCTGTCTCCAAAGCACCACTATCAAGTAATTATCTAATAATCTTGTAAGTAAAAATGCTATGACGGATGAACAGAAAGACGCCAGGGGTATAACATAATACAATCTTATAAGCAAATTTCTTTGGGCATATAATTAATGTACTCTATATAAGTGATCATCCTATGAAGTTTGACAATTGTAAAACTGTTAACAATATTAAGGTCATTTGATATTGACCTTTGACCTTGTGACCCCAATATAGAAATGGATCTTTTATTCAATATAGGCAATCATCCTATGATGTTGGAACACTCAGTAAGCCAAATGGAACTTGTGTTATGCTCCAGAAATCACAATTTTCAGTGTGAAGGTCATCCTATAAAAATTTTACAGCTGTAGCTTGATTAATACTTAAGATATTGAGTGGAAAACTGTTTTCAATTTTAAGGTAATAGTGACCTTGACATTTGACCTTTAGACCCCAAATCAAAAGGGGTCTTCCACCCAATATTGACAATCATCCTATGAAGTTTGAACACTGTGGGGCAAATGAAACTTAAGTTATGCTCCAGAAACAACAATTTTTCAGTTTAAAGATCATTGTCACCCTGACCTTTGACCTTATGACTCTAAAATCAATAGGGGTCATGTATTGGAAATGGCTGTTCATCCTATAAAATTTACAGCTGTAGGTTGATTAGTTACTTAAGTTATTGAGCGGAAACTGTTTTCAGTTTTAAGGTAATAGTGACCTTGACCTTTGACCTTGTATTCCCAAATTCAATAGCGGTCTTTTACCCAGTATGGAAAATCATCCTATGAAGTTTGAATATTGTGGGCCAAATGGAACTTAAGTTATGCTCGGGAAACCAAATTGCTAATGGACGGACAGACTTACAAAATGGTACTTATGTGACTTTTCCTTTGATCTTTTTAGCCATTTTTAGTCACACAAGGCTTAAAAAAAGGCACACAAGTAAAAACGGAATGAATAGGATCAAAGAGAATTTACTTTTACCCATTGTTCTCCAAGTCACACAAGTACCTCTGGGTGTGTACTGATTCTATATCCCCCTTTTTCTTCAAAAAGGCGGGGGACAACAAGGGACAGCTTAATCTGAACAATTTTTGTACACTGTCACCAAGAAAACTTTTGTGTAAAATTATTTCAAAATTGAACCACTGGCTGAGAGGTTGTTTAGATGTTGTTTTCTAATTTTAGCTCTGGCAGCCATCTGACAGTTCAGCCTGTCACTGTGAGAGGTGAGCTAATAAAAAGATGATGGAAAAAGAGAAGGAAAACAAACATTTAACCTGGCTTGGGACTGAATTGTCTACCTCGTTCCCATGGGGTGGAGCCAATTTTGACCCTAGGGTTTTTATTTGAACAAGAGCCATGTCAACATGGCCATCCCCCGCCGAATGTGTTTGCTCATTGGAAGAATGTATATGTAGTAGAGCGGAATAATTCCATTTTAAGATGTCTTTTGGTAATGAAAACTGATGGCTATAATGATTACAGATTTGAAACCTATGTGAATACTGATGGCTGAAAATAACAAAGGGCAATTACTGAAAAATAATGCAGGGTAGGTTATCATTCTTGTGTGCTGCATCCCTCCTCAGTAAAATCTATCCACCTATGAAGTTTCAAGTTGATACCTCAAATACTTTTTGAGAAAAAAATTGAATTGAAAAATTAAGTATGAAAAAGAACAAAGGGCAATAACTCAAAAATAATAAAGGGTAGAGTTATCATTCTTAAGCACTGCACTCCTCCTCAATGAGATCCATCCACCTATGAAGTTTCAAGTTGATACCTCAAATACTTTTTGAGAAAAAAATTGAATTGAAAAATTAAGTATGAAAAAGAACAAAGGGCAATAACTCAAAAATAATAAAGGGTAGAGTTATCATTCTTAAGCACTGCACTCCTCCTCAATGAGATCCATCCACCTTTGAAGTTTCAAGTTGATACCTCAAATACTTTTTGAGATAAGCTCTGGACAAAATAACATAAAAAAAACAAAGGGCAATAACTCAAAAATTGTATAGGGAAGAGTTATCATTCTTGCACACAACATTCCTCCTCAATAAGATCTATCCACCTATGACATTTCATGTTGATATCTCAAACACTTTTTGAGTTATGCTCCACTCAGGTGAAAAATTAGGTATGAAAAATAACAAAGGGCAATAACTCAAAAATTATGAAAGGTAGAGTTATCATTCTTGTACACTGCACACCTCCTGAGTGAGATCTATGCACCTATGAAGTTTCATGTTAATATCTCATAAGCTTTTGGAGTTATGCTCTGGACAAAAATCAATTTTGAAAAATAACAAAGGGCAATAACTCAAAAATCATTCAAGGTAGAGTTATCATTCTTGTGCACTGCACTCCTCCTCAATGAGGTCTATCCACCTATGAAGTTTCAAGTTGATACCTCAAATACTTTTAGAGATATGCTCCGGACAAAAATGTCGGACGGACGGACGGACGGAAGGACGGAAGGTCGGACGGAGACTATTTCTATATCCTCCGCCGAAATTTTTCGGCGGGGGATAACAAACATGGTAGACATACACTATAACATATTTCATGCAAAATATCTAAGCTCTACCTCTTTTGGATTTTCACAAGAAGATTTTTTAAGGTTTTTACTATATACATGTATATATAAGGAAAATCAATGACCCCCTCCAATTTTGACCCCAGGGCTTTTATTTGAACAAACTTGGTAGACATCCACTAGAAGATGGTGAATGCCAAACATCTAAGCTGTAGCTCTTTTGAATTTTTTTTTAGTTTTTAGTTTAAACATAAAATTATAAGGAAACTCAATGACCCCTGGGGCCGGGCCAATTTTGACCCTAGGGCAATTATTTGAACAAACTTGGTAGACATCCACTAGAAGATGTTTCATGCCAAATATCTAATCTATAGTGCTTTTGGATTGTCACAAGAAGATTTTTTAAGTTTTTACTATATACATATAAGGAAAATCAATGACCCATTTCATGTTGATATCTCAAAGGCTTTTTGAGTTAAGCTCTGGACAAAATTAAGTTTGAAAAATAACAAAGGGCAATAACTGAAAAATTATGCAGGATAGAGTTATCATTCTTGTGCACTGCACTCCTCCTCAATATAATCCATCCACCTATGAAGTTTCAAGTTGATACCTCAAATACTTTTTATATGCCCAACAGAATATTGATTTTGGGGTCACAAGGTCAAAGTCACTATTACCTTAATACTGAAAATGGAGCATAACTTAAGTTCCATTTGGCCCACTGTATTCAAACTTCATAAGATGATTGTCCATATAAGGTAGAAGACCCCTATTGATTTTGGGGTCAAAAATCAAGGTCACTATCTTCTTAAAACTGGAAACAGTTTTCGCTCAATAACTCAATTATTAATCAACCTACAGCTGTAAAATTTTGTAGGATTAACAGCTTTATACCCCTGACGTCTTTTCGTTCATCCCTTCTAGCATTTTTACTTACAAGATAACAACTTGATGGTGGTGCTTTGAAAACAGCAACTGTATATATACATGAAGGTTTTCAGCTATAAAGGAGGATTGCTTTTTGAAGGAGGTATTACTGTATTTAATTCCCATGTCTTACAAATGCTTCATCCTTACTAAAAGAAAAAATACTTTCAGGCATATAATGCTCCGCCTAGCGGTGCTCTTGTTGAGATATGCTCTGGACAAAAATGTGGGACAGAAGGACGGACGGACAAATGGAAGGACAGAGACTATTCCTTTATTTAAGTTTTTTAAGTTCAAAAAGGGCCATAATTTTGTCAAAACCCATGATAGAATTATGGGCCTTGGACTGTGACCCCCTATTATGCTCCCAAATAAGTATGTGCAGTGTTTAATGAAAAATGATGTTGCATGCAAACGGTGCATAATGGTTTCGGGCTGATTTGGAATATTTTCCCGTCCCTGAACTGATTTGGATTTATTGGCACCGGCTGATTCAGATAAAATAGATTTTTAGCTTAACAAGGTAGGTAAATATATAAAATAAACACATTTCCATCTTTTAGTCTTTGAAAATTCTACTTGCACGGAACATTGCAATGTTTAAGGAATTCAAATACAACTTTATATGGTCTGTAACGGTCTTTTGTGAGTAGGAATCAAAAAACAAATTTCACATGTCAGTGAAGTAGTAGTAAACACTAGCATAAAACTCTAGTTATTGACCAAGAACAAAATTTTCTTTACATAATCTTGCAACACACCAAGTTTCACTGAAATATCTCATTCCTCACTCTAGTTGTTGACCAGAAACAAAATTTCAGTGACCTTGACCCTAGGGGGGCTTTAAAGAAATCCCAAGGGAGGTTTTCACATAAGCTTGCAACATGCCGCCATTACGTTGACATTCGTTAATGTATATACATGTGTCTGATTGAATGTGCCAAGAAGTAGGTTTGTTATTGTTGATAGTGGCTATGCTGCAATATTTAACCGTTGAAATGACGGTAAATCACCTACAACTACAACTTATAATTGAACAAAAATAAATTATTCAAAATTTAATACATGTATATTAATAGTGAAACATAAACACAATCATTCGTAGCAATGACAGAAATGCAAGTTTGTTAGTATTCATCAGAAAAGCACATGTATTTAATAAGCACTCATGACAGTTCATTAGAATAAATGCAAAATAACACATTTATTTCAACAACAATTTGTCTAATATTTGAAGTGAATTGATCATCGGACGAAAACGAAAGTAACAAATATCGTAAACCAGAAGTATATATTAATGTATGCAATATGACGGAACATTAATTACACAAATGTCATTTGCGTTGATAACACAAATCAATACCTAGGCTGTTATTTGACTAACACCTGTCAGACTGGCACGAGTCAACTTTCTTAAAGAAATGTGTAAGAATAGTTTGCTTTAGTTATAAAACTGTTAAAACCAATTAAGTCCTGAAACCGATTAAAGCCACTTTTACGACATGTTAATAATACATGATGACCGGCAATTAAAATAATAATGAAACGTGTGAATCACGAGTGACAACATCTCACCTTGATTTCGCCGACCTTTGATCAGTCGGCTGTTTTCACACTTCGACTAATTGAGATGAAAATATGTTGGACTTTAATTGACGGGACCAAATTTTCTTTTCGACTAAACAGGAGTCTCCATAAGTCAAAATTTGACCTAAGCGGAGTTAAAACACAAAGATAAAGAAGGAAATTTGACGGGACTTTAGAAATTCTTCGACTAACGCAGAATTTTGAGTAAAGCGATTTTGACTTATTGAGAGTCAACTGTATTTCATACCAAAACTGGAAACTGATTTTCTATCTTTAGTAACAGTGATGACCTTGACCTTAACCCTAGGAGCCCCAAAAGAAATGCAAAGCAATGTCTTCACATCAGCTTGTGAACACCAAGTTTCATTTAAATATCTCATTCTTAACTGAACACAATCATCAGAATCCATTAAAAGTTTTACTGTGGAAAGCAACAGACAGACAGACAGACAGATAATGCCATAAAATCATATGCCCCTAAGTTTCTTTTGAGAATAATAAAATACTTGGTATCATCTGCTCTGATTATACAACATACATTGGCAATTGATAAAGCTATTTTCAAGTCTTGAAAAAGTCAAAATACATAAAACTGTGACATACGTTAAAGGAAATATCACAGTATGAGAGTTCTATACCACCATACAAAATAGCAATATAAAATGTACTAGGATATGTCCATATTGTTGCATCTCTACAGTATTAAAGATAGACAAAAGTCATGCATTTTGTACATGTGTATTATGATAATTTCATCCAATTACAATAGTTTGTATTACATATATTACTAAATAAATTTGATAATTCTTTACGGAACTAATCAATAATTATAGTTTTGAAATAAAACAATAACTATCTTTAATATACTCTTCACTGAAGATTCATGTAACTTATATCTTACCTAAAATTAACCTCACATGACATAGAGATCATCATCTTTCCAAGTTAAAATTACTTCAGCAATTTTTTTCCAGTTGATCAATGTTGTCTATTTGTAACCATTAAATCTAAGTTATATCTGTAAATAAAAAAATCAGCAAAAATTAGTTTGGTTTACGGACCCAACCTAGGTATAAATGGAAGGTAATGGCTGGTGGGTGGTTTCCCTTGAACTTTCAAACTGTATTCAGTTCAATGAACCCAAATGATTAATCTGTCAATCTTGATAACAAATTGCAAAATGTATGAAGAAATTGGTTCTTATAACTTAATAACAAATGATAACAGAAATTAAAATTGAAACTATGGGGAGGAGTTTATTATGTAAGTAACCACATGACCACATTGTTTTTATTTGTTTGGGTCGTCAGACCAAACAAATAATGGTAGCGAAATTTCAGAGCCTAATGCTGTTAATTGCAAATGCTTAAAGTAGTCCACTTTTTTGAAGCGGTTACTTCCCTTTATATGTACACTAACGCCAAAAAATTCAGGGGAGATCAATGCGTAAAGATTGTCAAATGAGAGGCGCATTAATTTTCAAGCAAAGTAGTTCCCGAATGGTCGAAGATTTCTAATATTGATTCATTCCTTATAGATATACATGCTTACAGTAAGCTCCATGATTATTTACATCTGTGTTAAACAACAGGTTTAGTGTCGAAATAATAAGAGTTACAAACCCTAATTTAGAATAATATGGTTTTCTTCAAGCCGTTAACATATAACTTCACCGTGGCCGAGGGGTTTGCACGCTCGTATGAATCGAGAGGTCTGGAGTTCAAATCCCAGTTGAGGCAACTCATTTTTTTTTAAGTCAAATAAACATTGAATTGACTATCAGTGTTGCAATTAGTCTTATAGCCAATTTACTACAGTTAAAACACTGGAAAGCATTGGTGGCACTATACAAAAACAAATTGGTTTATAATCTCACAACCTTCACCTTTCTGGCATTCTGAGACCCAAACAAATTCAGCGCCATCTGTGCTTTGATTAAACATAGCAATGTGATCACATGAGAATATAAGTACATCAATTATTACATTTCACAATGAAAATATACAGAAATGATAAAACTCTTGGCTTGCAGGGTTTTTTTTCCAGGATTTTGGGAACATGACCCATGCCCATGGAATTGGGAATTCAGCGTTGATTTGTTGAAAATTGGGGAAAAAAGCATGACTTTAATTTAATTTGGCAGTAATTAAATGAATGCAAAGAATCACTGTCTAGGACAACTTCAAACATTTAAGCACCATAACATTGAAGAAACAAAGATTTTAGAATTTGTTATTGAATATTAATATTTTTATTTTGTAACTTTCAATTGGGAATTTTTTACTGTGGATTGGGAAAATAATATACTGTTTTCAATTGGGAATATGACCGAATATCGGCTATGAAATAAGCCAAAAAAAATCCCTGACTTGTGTTTCTCACTATTGTAAGTTTATCAATTTCACAGACACATTATATTCACGTTATAAATACTAGTAGTAATTCTCAATTTCATCACCTAAGGTCATAAATAGTGTCCAGTGTAGGGTTGTACTAGTGGATTAGGATACAGTTTCCTTACAAAATATGGTAATCAATAGCAAAATGTAATGCAAAATTGTTAATTTAAGTTAAGTTAATTTAAAACAGTTTTGCATAACATTTTGTCTAGTTGAACAAGAACAGTTCTTTTATCATTTTTTCAATGGAGAAATGCATTGTTTCTTAATTACTTCCTTTTACACCAAACATTTTGTCTTTACAGAATTGAACAAAACTGTTTGTATCTGTTTTTTTATTGAAATTTTATGAGTAGGTTTTGGCCCTGACCTTTTTTCCATTCAGGTCTACTCTTTCACAGTAACACATGAGGAACAAAAACATTATTCACATGAATCTGTATCAGTAAAATCAGAATCAAAAACAGTAGTTTCATCTGCTCTTTGTCTTTTACTAGTACCTCTATGATGACGTATATTTCGAGTTTCCTTTGACATGTGAGCATTGTCCATAACTTCATTTCTTTTCCGTTATATTGGTGACACAATATAACCATATTCCAATTATTGTGGTTAAACAGAGCTTCAATGGTAAGTTTCTGCACAAACTTTTCCACTTATATTGAATAAGATAAACAAATGAAAGCACCAAACAAACCTATTTTCAAAGCACAAAAAAATCCCTTCTAAACTGATTTCAGAAATATAGAAAATGCAAAATATGTAAGGTATAAAAGGTACACATGCGCAGTCACATTTATTGTTCAGTATCATCATGTTAGTAACTAAATGGTATCAACTTTGAAATAAGAAAAAAATTTCTCACATTATTTGTCCCAGAAACTCTTCACTAATTAGGTAATGTATTCAAAACAAGACCATACAATCACTGTCACCCCTTCTGTATTGTAGTGTTAATAAATGAATATAGTGAAATAAATGTGAAATTTAACTGGTTTGTGACATTGAATTAGCACTCTTGCTTTGATTGTTTTTGCACGCGCTGTTTATCGCTACATTGTGACGTCACATATTAAAACAACACTTTAAATGTCTGTACAGCGTAAATGATTGATATTAAAGATATGATTAAAGTACAGAGTGAGATATTTCTATGGATTTGTAGCCTGAAATTGTTTATTATGAAGTATACAAGTACCAACCACCTATTTCACTATTTACTACAGTAGAACTTCTATGAGTCAAACTTTGATAAGTCGATTTTGATGTGTCGAAGTAAAATGACAGTAAAATGAGGGCTTTTGTCCTACACTCTTAAACGACAATTAGCCATGTCCTTTTGGTAAAAATACCTAAAACATTCCCTCAATCATGTAGACTTCATAACCTCATGTTTAGTGGTAATTTTCACACCAATTGTTAACCTTCCCTCAAGAAACCACAGAGGGTAAACAATTAATCTTTTAATTGATCAAAATTATTGCCGGAAGGGCACATAGATTTACCAGTCAAAGGATTAGCGTCATCGTTTACTGTATATTGCAATGCTGTATTGGGATAATCTTCCGTTATAAGCGTTCTAGTATAGTTAATATATTTAACCTTTTACCCCATGAGCATATTGCGAAAATTGGCCGTTTTCATTGAAAAGCCTCCTGTAACAAGTTCCAACTGCTATGAATCTATGAAAAATGCTTCAATACTGATGAAACTTGGCACAAATGTTGACTAGACCATAGCCTCTGTAACAGCATGCTCAAATGTAAATTTCCTGTTACCAGTGCAACGGGGGACGTCTCAAAATTGCCAAAAATCACTATTTTGCATTGTTTTTTTTCCCAAAGGCCTGCAACTTCTCGATGAATTCAGATAGAGTAAAAGGCTTTTCAGTGTCGGTTACTAGTTACCCTAAAATGGACCTATTGCCATTTTTAGCCTGTCAAATGTCAAAAATTTTCTTGGCGATGAGGGGGATTACCGCCCCCTTCAAACCCCCCAAACATCCCCCTTCTGGCAACCCCCTGATGTAACATTTGGATGGGGGGTGGAGCAGAAAGAGTTGTCACTTTTTTTTACAACATTTCTCAAACGAAAAACAGTGTTTGGGTCCTAAATAAGGCATTTTTTCACTGTTTGAGGCCTCAAAAAAGGGGGGGGCAAACAGCCGTTGAAACACGTCTATATCAGGGAAAAGGTTAAAATCATTTTCATAGATGGTATACTGGCCTGCGTTTCATGGAGAGTCCTAAGTTAATCCTAATGCCTAGGACTTATGACCAACTTTTTGCACTTAAGACCGTTTCAAGTAACTGTACTATCTTTTGTATTAAACTTAAGACTTACGACCAATTCGCTCTCCTGAAAAAAGTTACAAAATACAATGGCACACACATAATCCCGGATTGGATTTACTGTGTAATTGATTATAGCAAGTATAAAAAGTAATGTATTGCCCTCTTATCATGTTGAGTGAAAATAATTATACCATATTTCACGAAAAACGATAAAATAACCTATATTTAATTTCATAGTAAAAAAAAATGGTTACGAACCCCCTTGCTTGCTACGCAACTGCAATTGTACAGGGCGCAGTAATAATTATTATAATTTATATATGCGTCTTGTTTTGCTATTTGGAGCTACATTGTGACGTCATGTAAACAACTCTTTAAACATCTGTACAGCGTTAATGAATGAATTAAAGATATTGGTGCTCGGATTTATTTTCTTATTTAGACCATTATCTATCATTCTAGATAGTTTTCAAAACAAAATTCAACAAAAAGTTGTTTGATTTTGGAGTGGTTTTAACTTAGGACAATCTTAAGATACCTTTAAAACACTCAGTCTCCTAGACTTAGGACTGTTTTTGGTCATAAGTATAGGAGTCATAAGTTAGGACCTTTTTTAAGACTTTCTTTGAAAATTGTCACAATTTTTATCTTAAGACAAACTTACCGGTAAGACTTAGGACTCTCCATGAAACGCAGCCCTGGTGCCTCATATTTCCTTACTGTTTCTTACTGGTACTTAACTGTTTAACACAGACAACAAAAATTAAAAGGATAAAATTCTGGAAAACACATTGAATATTGTAGGATAGACATGTCAATTGCATCATAGTTTATTCCATGTAAGCAATTATGTATACAACATTGTAATAAATACCCATCTGCTGCCTAGTGAGTAAAGTTGTGTTCAGGCAATTACATTTTAACAGTTTCAAAAGCAAAACCAATTGTACTCTTTATTATTTAGTACACCTATGCCTGGCCTCGTCTGAATGAGGGGATTTTCTCTTTGGCATTATCAAATATCTAAAAGAAGATTTTTTTAAAAGGTATGAAATCTAAAAGTAAAATGGTGAAATAAATTACTTTGCTCATAATTTGAATAAAATATTTTTTTCAGGTGTATATGTAACATTTCGATAAAACTACAATAAAATAGTAAAAGTAAAACTAATGGCAGGTTCACAAAGTCTAGGAGGCACTTTAGACTGTTTATGCCTATAATACCTTGGAAATATGGGTACCACGGAAATATGAGGCACAAGTATAATATTTTAATGTCTTTTTCAAAAACGTTGACATTGAAAATTTTGACGTCTAGAGTGCAA